ATCAGCCTCTGCTGATCGGGAGGAATGCCTTCTTTGTCTTGGATTTTGGCCTTCACGTTTTCAATGGTATCACTGGGTTCAACCTCAAGGGTGATGGTCTTGCCAGTCAGGGTCTTCACAAAGATCTGCATGTTTACCTGAAAAACGTACAGAAATTCCAGTATTAAGTAAGTCACCCATAAGCCCACACATGCTTTGTATATGAGAAAACGACTCACTAATCCATATTACATTAATATAAACTAGGATTTCAGTAAGCTATTACTAACCCTGTAATTCCTGTTCTCCAGCTCCTCGTTGAAGTAGTACCCAATACTTTTCAAAGCCCAAGCAGTACCCACGCAGCACAGAGCCAGCCCAGTCCTTCCCCCACCTGCAAGGCAACACACCCCCCATCCCCCCGCCGCGGGCTCTCATGTTGGCAGAGCTGCCCGGCGCTGACTCAGCTCCCCACTTCCGGGCAGCACAACGCCGCATCCGCCATCTTTTCGAACATCCTCCCTTTTTCAAATCTCTCTCCCTCCCCCCCACCCTCCGCCCCGGTTTTTAACAACGTCGTTATTTTTAACAGCGTCGTTAGGACGGATTTACAAACTCCACAACCACCACCCCTCGGAAACGCTACTCGAAAAAGACTCACTCCAACCCTTTCTGTCTCCCTGACTGGAAAAAAAAAACAAAAACAAAAAAACCCATGCCTTTCCCCTCCCGCCCCAGCACCCCCACCACACAACTCACGTCTCCGGCCCTGAGCGCAGCTCCACACAAACACAACTCTCAATGCAGCAACTGTATTCTGCGGAGTGACGCAGCGCCGCACGTATTTATGCCCCAGCCGCACGACAGTCCCCGCCCCTCCTGCGCTGACGTATCCATCCACCCCTCAAAGTAGTCCCTCACAAAACCCCCCTGGTAAAACAAATACTTGCCTCCCTACCTCTCCAATCCCTCTTCCAAGAGCAAAGGGGGTCCCTGATGTCTTCGGCAGAGAGTTGAGACCCTTAAAAATCCCCGAATTTCGGAGGGTGCGGAGGGATCTGGAGCTGCGGTGAAACGGCTACTCCAAACGGCTGCAAGGTCGGCATTGATTGGTGTAGCAGTAAGAAAGGTGGCTGCTGATTGGCTGATAGGGAGAGGTCGTTGTAAAGAAAGCTCTGGAACATTCGAGCGCTGCAGCGTTCTGATTGGTGCGCGGTGAGGTCAGCCCTGTTGCTAGGGCGGCCCTGTTCTGCGGGGGCAGATTTCGATTGGGGGGGGGAGGGGGGGAGAGAGCAGGAAAATGGAGGGCGCGCAGGCCCTGTGGCGATGGGTGCGTTGTGTTTACTCCGTATCTTTTTGGCAGCTATTGCTTAGGGCAGGGAGAAAGGAGCAAAAGGAACCCTGTAACCACAGCATCACGGCTCATTTCTGGGACCGGAATAGCTGGGGCCGCTCCTATTGTGTGTGGCTGTAAGGAAAAGCCAGGAAGAGCAGAAATGTGTATTAGAAGAGCTGGAAAACGTTACACAGAAAGCCGGCGAGCGTTAGCAGCTGCTGCTGTGTCACGCTGGCTCTGCTCTCTCCTGAATCCTGAGCCGCCCTCAGCCTGCCCTGCATGGCAGCTCCTCAGTGCTGAGAGCTCTGCTGCTGAAAGGGCTGTTAGCTGCTGTCGGAACAGGAAGCCCTGAGCAGGTCACAGAGCAGCTTCCTGCTGTGAGCCAACGTGGCAGTGTGCTTGGTGTTAATTGAAGTTCATTATACCTTTTGGACTGGCTCTTGTGTCGTAATCAGAGAATGCAAAATCCAAAAAGGTTTTCATGCTGTTTCATTTGCTGCTCGGTGAATGCAGATGAACTTGCTGGTAAATCCTGTGCTCAGGAAGCATGGGCGTGCTGTGAATAGCAGGATTTAACACAGAGCCATGAGCTGTATTTCCCTCAGTTAAAAAGAAAAACCTCTGGTTTCATTTCTTTTAGCAAGGCCCGCGTCTGCTCAGCACTTTGTGGTTTACAGTAAAAAGGAAATAAATCTTTCCAGCAGTTATTCAGAATGTAGGCAGGAAGGGAGGAAAAGAGTAACTGGAAAGCTCAGAGACTGTTCTGGGGCAGTCACCAACCTCTGAGATACTATTCAGCTATGCAGATTTAGGACAAAGGGCGGATTTAAGCAATATTACATGCATTTCCTTAACACTGCCAACTTTGCTCACTGTTTCCAATAGGTTCATTCTGCGTGCGCAGTGCCAAAGCAGTAGATGTTAGAGCCAAGGCAGCTAAACAAGGAGCTCTGAGAGGAAAGCCATGAGAAACTAGAAATAATATTTACAAATGTGAAAGGCCGTTGCTGCTAAACTGGAGATTTACCATAAAGTAATCTAAAGCCTAGCCCGAGTGTTTTGGGCTTGCATTAAGGATTTCAGCACTTCCAGAAAATGCCAGAGCCCTCCCTTTAAAAAACAAACAAACAAAGTATTGGCAAAGCCTGTGACTAAACTGTTTACGAAAGCAGTTGTTCGCTTTCTAGTTAAATATATCTAAGTATTTAGTATGTATACTGCCCTTCCTCCAGTAGCTCTAGGTGAATAAGCCACTGACTGTGGACTGTGTATAAATAAATGCAAACCTGAAAATACAGAACGCCGTATCTTGTGACTGGACTGAGTGCACAGGTGGTTCCAGCCTTTGCCAGGGTGCAGAGCCTGCTGCTGGGGACACGTGTTTCTTGCCAGCAATTTCAGAAGTAGGTCATTAGGCAGCAGTACAAAGTAACCTGCTTTCAGAAGAGAAAAACTTGGGGTCAAAGAAATGTTTCCAATGAATCTGAACATTCTAGAACGCGGTGTCTGTTTTTGTGTGCGCTACCATCTTAGCAACAGCATAGCATTTGCACATGAGCAATGTCAAATGAAGCAATCAGTTTATCTTTAGTTACAAAAGTTTAACTTGGGGCAGCTGGACAATCAGAGGATTCGTGTATGCACAGCGAGATCAGTACTTTTCCTTTGTCCAGATAAAAATGGGCTACTTGCCATACGGAAAAACAGTATATTGTCCTACCTCTTAGAATTACTCACACATATCTCAGGTTTATCTTACTGTATATGACACAGGATAATTATGTTTATCTATTTATGCTTGTGGAGATATTTTCTGCCCAAACCTGCAATGCTGCAATAAGGCCCGGTCACAAGACAAATAGAGCTGTGCCGTGTTACTGCTTGTCCTTGTACAGCCAAGCTCAAGGGTTGCAGAAATAACAAGTCACAATTCAAAGTACTGTAAGATGTTATGACATTACCAAAAAAAGACAACTCGCTGAGTTTTGTTTTGTTTTTCTAAGCCTTATGCTAAGAATAACTTAAATAAACAAAGTTTTTAATAAGCTTCAAATTCAGGAGCAGAAAACTTCACAAAAAGAACTAGCTGGACTTGTAAAAAAAATAGGGAAATTGGGCAATACTTATTTGTCCCCCTGCCTGTTTAAAACGTTTTTTGACTGCAGCACACAGGAGACACAGCTTTGTTTTAAAAGCTGTGCTTCTACCACCAACATGCTTGGGCTTGCTTGTCCTGCTCTGAATGATCCAGAGGAAGATGTGGCAATTCGCTTCCTGATGTCAGGAGACTCTTCACAGGGCATTTTACAAAGACATCAGTCTGAAAACACAGGTTTGTGCCTGCACACAATGCCAGTGAAAGCGACAATATCTGGATCTGTTCTAAAATTACATGTCTGTGTCTTTGCAGTCTGTCTCCTGCTTACGAGTCTGCTGGAGCCGATCCAAACTGCAGTGCAGTGAAGGAGCTCTCTTTGTTCCTGTTTTCTTTGCTGTGTCTGAGCAGGATAGCAGAGAACCATCTTGAAAAACAGAAAGAAGTGAGTCTAGAATGCTGTGAATAATTAACATTTTTCTACTGAACAGCAACACTGAAGACCATTCTGAACAGCCTTTGTCCATCAGACCCTTTGTCTTCAGATCCAGCTCGGATCCCTTGATAAGGGGAATATCCAGAAAGGTCCCCCCCATGATCTTAAGACTAAAATCCAAACATTGATATTTTTCTCCCCTGTACAAACTGTGAAATCTTTAACGCCTCAGTGCTTTTAAGCCTGGTGTTAGCTATGAACTACTTCTAGTTCCCTGTTTGTTAGACAAAAAGCATCTACGGTTTCTACTTCCCTTAAACCCACAAACATGTCGCTGCTTTTAGTGCTGCTTCTGCAGTGAAAATGCCCTTACAGGCAGAATCCACACAGGCTGCAAGCCAGCTCTGCATAGCTGAGTCATTGTTATACAAGCAGAGCTGCATGGCACAGAAAAGCACCTTTGTACTTCAGCACTAAAACACATCAGCTGATGAACTTTGAATATGTGATACACCCAAAGAGAACAGTCATTTACTGGACTTTTCTTCCTCTTATCTTTCTCACCTCTTTCTGAATGTTTCTTCCTTTTCTATTGTGTTTCAGAAGCTTTAGAGGAAAACATTCTTTATCTTCTACTGCCACTAATGTTTGGTAAACGTTGGAAATAATCAGTGTGAGGGCTGTTAACTCTTTAGGCACTGGGCAACATCTAACAGCCACACGTGCATGTACCCCCAATCCCATATGCAACCACTGAAATTTAGGACTTGCAATCAGAATACCAGTAAAATTTAACATCAGCCAGAGATCTGCTGTAAAGTTCTAGCATTGTCTCTTCCTGTGAGGCCTAATTTTGAGCTTTATGAGTCCTTTGAAACAAATGAGAGAGGAGGAAGAATATTTTTGCTGTAACCTTCTGAAATGACTGCATTCTGCTTTTCAATTTTTTTCTTTCTTGCAGTTCTTTCCTTGAAACATCATAGGGGAACAGAATTTAGCTTCTCAAAATGCTTTCTACATTTAGTAAATGGTGAATTAATAGTGGAGGTAAGTGGAAACTGACAGATTTGCATATATGACATAGATTGCACGCTCCAGTTTTCACTCAGGAACTGCTTTAGGAGGGTGTACAGATGTTTAGTGTCTCCTAAAGCAGGCAGGTGTCTGTTTGTGAACTGATCCATGAGCAGCTCCTAAAACATGCTCTGCCTTTTAGTTTCGTGTTGTTCTTGTTTTTAGAGGACAGACCACTGTAGGCTGAAACCTGCAACTGCTGCAGGCCATACCCCACACCTAGGGCAGATGAAGCCATGCTGCAGACTACACAGACTTGGTTTCAGCTCACGGTCTCCAGTTTCACCTGAGTGACATTTCCTCCCAAAATATAAGGTGACTAACATGAAGTTGAGTGTGACTAAAAGTCTGGGAGTGGCCCAGGATCAGGCGCTCCTGAAGAACATGCTGACGTGGGCCAGAATTTGTCACATACAGCATATTTAAAATGGTTCCATTAGAATGAATAACGAGTACAGAGGTTCAGATGGGGAATAACAGGAAACTGTAACTCAGCACCCTTTCCTACCGTCAGTGAAGGGTGATGCTGAGCCACTGGATTGCTATTCGAGTCCTGCTATGTGCCAACTCAGGAGGCAGCCCACACACTGCAGATGCATGTTTTTAAAGCTGTTTTCCAGACCAGAGAGTGCTGATGGACGTTTCGTCATCGTCCAGTTGCTTTGCTATATTCCTGGATGAGACGTGACCCTCTGGTGCCTGTTCTGCTCCATACCAGACTAGTAACTCACTTGTTTACATCTCTCCCTGTTCCGCTTCCAGAGAAGAGCAAGGCATTAAGAATTGTTGTCAATACAACTTATTGATTGTCGCTCCAACAAAATACATTTCCACTCCAGCCACCCTGGTTATTCAGCCTCGGAGTGATTTTTTTTCTCCCCACCAAATGCAACTTAGATGCCTACAAGTTCTTCTTTACCCCACATTGAGCAGTTTCACTCCAGAAACAGCGTTGCCCTACAATGTCTGTCAATAATCTTTTCTAGGTTATTTACCAACAGAGGAGCACTGTCAGAGGTTGTGTTTGTTTCAGGGGCTGTGCTGTGTTGTTTGTTTTCCTTTTAACTTAAAGATTCTGGTGATGGTTTGTTAAAAAGAAAAAAAAAAGCGCCTAGTGGGAATCACATAAAAGCCCATTTCTCTGCAGAGCTGCCATCATGATTCACACCTCAGGAAGGACAGAGCCTCACTACGCTTCAGAACGCACATAATGATGCACTGCAGTGTTGTTGAACACAGCCTTGTTTTTAAAGGAGGAAGGATGCATAGCTGAGATGTCACACAACACACTCAGGTCTGCAAAGCAGTTGACAACCTTGACTATGTGAGGCACCCTGTGTTTACAATTAAAGAGAAAACCTCATGATAATGTTTGCAAATAACTGGCATTTCTACCACTGTTGGGTATGTTACAGGCCAGCTGGCACCCTGAGCTCACAACCTACAGATCTGAACTCACCATATTCACTCGGGCATTGGGGCTCAGATTCCATAAATGTGATGAATTCACTTTCACCTGCTGCCCCAAACCCTCAGCTTGGCCATTCCTTGGCTGTTTTTCTCAGCAGAAAACTCGTCTTTGCCACCAAATCTCTATCAGATACAGCACAAGCTCGCTTTCCACTGGGGCAAAGCAGCTGACGGGGCGGGATTCTCCTTGCTACCATTCCCGGTTGTGCCCACAGGCGGAGCCCCCCGACCAGCGGCGCCCCGCGGGCACAGCCTCTATCCCGCGCCGCGACAGCGCCCCCTGGCGGCAACGGGCAGCAGGGCGGGGAGCGGCACATGGGGCGCGCTGCGGCGGGCAACGCGCGGCGCTCCCGGCGGAGCAGCGCGGCCAGCGCTTCGCCCGCGGGTAGGAACCGCCGGGAGAGAGGGAAAAAAGCGGGCGGCTCCCGGGGCGGGGAGCAGGCGCTGCCCGCCGGTACGTTCGATCTAGGGGCGCAGAGCGAGCGTTGGGCCGCCTTCCAGGAGCGGCACCGGCTGAGCTGCGAGGAGGCGGCGCGGCTGCTGCTGGACGCCTAGTGAGTACGGGACGGGTCAGATCCCATCGCTTGCACAGCAGTGAACACGGGCCCGAGGGAGGGGGTGGGTCTTCCGCACAAAGTGGCTTTTTAGGCTAATTCACAGCTCCTCGGTCACAAACGCCAGTGGGGATCGCATTCCCTCCCGGGGGAGCCGAGGCTCACCTAAACCCGCACCCACCTCCTGTGCTCTTTCGGTCCACGGCACATCATCGCCGGGCTGTGATCAGTAACTGCCCGTGGGAGTGGAAATTTGGAAGGAAATGGGTTTTCTTCTGCATTTAGCTTTCGACTCGGTGTGTTCATTCTGCAGAGTTGCTATGGATGCACCCTGGGGGAGAGGGAGAAGCTCAGAGATTCCTTCATCGTAAAGTTCCCCTGCAATTAAAATGCAAAATAAAATGTTTCAGTACAGTGTGGAGTGCACTTATCTCTGCTGCTTCCAGCTTTTACATGGAGGAGTATTAGAGCTGGAGCAGCTGTGGGGAAAAAATGTGGGAAAAACCATTTCCCAGCTCCAAGAGGGCTGCATTGTGGGAACACCACTTTCTATCACTGCTGGACATGGCTAGTGCTGTAACTGAGGCCAGAATTCTGGCCTGGCCCATGGCAGAGGAGCACACATCCTGTGTTACAGGCAGAGTACACTCTACTTGAACTGCAGTTCTTTCCTTTCGCTGTTTTAATAAAATCAAAAATGCAATAGGTGCAGAAGACAAAACTCATTCTCTGCTTCACTCTGGAGCACTTTATTTAAATACATTTCAGGAGATATTTTTTAAAGGTGTACTGCAAGTGCTCAAAGCAAAACTGAGTAATAGAGTAGCCTAAATGTTTCCTAGGCCAACATAAAAATCTATGCTCACATAACCTGACTGTTGCTTCTCTCTCCAGTGAGCACAGAGGCCTGGTCAAACACACAGGAGGCTGTCACTGCGGAGCCATCCGCTTTGAGGTCTGGGCTTCAGCAGACCTGCATGTTTTTAACTGCAAGTGAGTCTTTGGTTTCCTGTTTCAGAAATGAATAAGAGCTCGTATGCTTTTCCAGTCAATGTCATAGAGAAAAGACTAATAAAACTGGAGAGCATCCTCTGCTCTGTTTCCATAAGGTATGTGCCCAATTATGTGCTGATCCAATGTGGGATCAGTGCAGGTGATTGCAGATGATGCACTGGTGGGCAGGACTTCAGGTCCCCTCATCTGTGCTCATGCAGAAAGTGATGGGAAAGATCTAGTGACTACGGGTGCTCAGTGGTCTGCTTTATGTTTCCTTCAAGTACAGCGCACTCAAAGCACATCAATTCCCTTTTAACTTGGTCTGCTCCAGTAAATGTTACATTTCTGACACAAGTGCAAACTACAGCAATGTCTGATTTCAAGTGTTTCCCCCACCTGCAACTAGTTTGCTTCCAGCTCATGAGTAACCTTTGAATCTCACTTTCTTGTTTGCAAGTTAATTAACGTTAGAAAAGTTGGCATACTGATCTGAAAGATTTAATGCATTTCTCAGGCTACAGTTAGTCCTTGGTAAGTCTACTGAAAGTTCCACACGTGGAAAAAAAAAGGCATATAATGCTTGCTAGAGGTGAATGCCTTACTGCTTATCTGCATAGGGTCAGTCTGTTTCATGGGTGTACTTAGCAAACACTACTGATATGAGTCCACTTTTGTCACTTACCTCTTTGAGGCTAAGGAAACATTTTAGCTTGTAGTGGAACTTCCGTCATCAAGAGGTCTGAGCTGGTTCTGATCTGATTCCTGTATTACAACTCATCTGCTGCTTCTAGAAAGGTCTTCTCTTTCTCTTACAGTTGCAGCATTTGCACAAAGAAGCAGAACAGACACTTCATTGTCCCAGCTTCACGTTTCAAGCTGCTGAAGGTAGAGTAAGAATGCAGTAAGAACCTGGCCACAAACACTAACAGAAAGAAATTACCTAATCCATGTAATCTATTATTATTGTAAAAGATGTGAGTGGTTCCCAGTTTTCTTGCCCTAATTCTGTATCTCAAGTAGAGACAAGAAAGTGATATTTTTAAATTTTATGTCTTAGCTCTAAGTTCACAGAAAGTAATTAATACACCTATTTATGTATCTACATTGCTTTTTATTTCTGCTTAGGGTGCTGATAATCTGACAACATACACCTTCAACACACATCGTGCCCAGCACACATTCTGCAAGACCTGTGGTGTGCAGAGCTTTTACACTCCTCGCTCCAATCCAGATGGCTATGGTAGGTAAAAAGAGTAAACCTGGCAAACTGTGGTAGCAAAATTGGATTGAACTCCACTGGTTGCTAGCGTGAGAGCAGAGAGCATCATGTCTTCATTTTTTTCCTAAATTACCAAACATCTAAAGCTGTAGCCTGAACCTGTGGCTCCTCCACAGCCTTACCTGTGACTTGTGGGCTTCCACCCATGACAATTTTGTCATCCAGACTCCTCAGCCTTACGACAGTAGCTGAACTGACAGCATTTACTGACAATCTCTGAGGTGTCCCATCTGCAGAGCGCAGAGATGCATCTATCTCCTACTCTTTAGCAGGTTTCTGTGTACTCTCTTTCTCTTAGGGATAGCTCCCCATTGTCTGGATGATGGCACCGTGCACAGCATTGTTACAGAGGATATCAATGGCAAAGAATGGGAGAAGGCAGTGAAGGAACATAAGACCATCAGAGACATGTCAAAACCCTGACATACCCTTCTAACAGCTGAACTTGGAGACTGCCATGGAACTGTAGTCTGGGCATTTCTGAGTGTTGTTGTTATCTGTTTCTTAAATAAATATTTCTATTCTGCCTGTGCCATTCATTTGTGACTCTGAGTTTTAAAGCTACTTCTATTCAATAAACCACTCCAGGACTGGTACTTTGGTAATTCACCCTCAGCTATAGTAAAGTTTAATCACAATAAACAGAGCAAAGTTCTAAAAATAATGAAGTCTGGCTTACAGAAATGTCCCATATAAAGTGTCCTATATAAGATAATCTCTTGCTTAGGACAAAGAAGTAGCTCATGCTGTTTTTTCTCCAATAACTTTAGTGAACTTACCATGGATTGAGAGTTAAGGGGTTTTGAAAGAGCTTACTAGGCTCAGGTTCAGTAAAGTACTTATACAGGTGATTAAACATATGCAGTAGAGGGACCCTGAAGTTATCCACGTGATTAAAAGTACTGATTTGCTTAAGCCTGGACTTGCTTATGGTTTTAAGGCTGAGTTGGCATATGCTTAGGCACTGACACATGGCCAGCAAACTGAATTCAGCAGTCATACTCTTGTAACAGTGGACACGTGCTCGAGTACAACCAAGAACTCATCTGTTGTCTTGAGCAGGATGTGCTCACAGCAGCACATCATGATCTGGCAATGTAAGTTCTCATCTCGACTGCGCACTGCCTAGCAGCGTAGATGCAGGGAAGATGTGCCAGCAGCTACAAGCCCACGTGAATGAGTGCAAAGACCTACAGAAACATGGAGTATTGCTGACTTTGCTACACTGTAACCCACAGAATGCCAAGTCATTCTTAAAATCTTTGTGTATCCTAAGGAATTAATCACTGAAAGCTGACATCTTCACTTACCTTTTAACACAAAGGGTGAGGATTTTTAGCTCCTGCAGATATCCTTCACATAAGTGGAACAACTTTTGAAACACTGCTATTTTTGTCTCCATGTGTTCTACAAAAGACTTAGTTACAGTCTGGGTCTCTTCCAACTCATTCTTAGATCCTGTTGAGATTCTTTTAAGTTGATCTCAAGCCCCATGTTCTGAAGCAAGAAGAAATGCTTGTGTTTCATGAGGGATGCTCTGGGAAAGGGGAGCCTGCAACACAATGCATCTCAAAGCAGCAGCAGTAGCAGCAAAGATCAGTGCAATTAGAAAAAAAAAAAACGTATACTTTCTGATGCTTTATTCACAAGCTTTGGCTTTTTAAAGTTCTGATTGAGTAAGACAGGTCTCATGGTTCTGGTTTTATCTGTGAACATAGAACATCTTGTAAAAGCCGCTCCTAATATTTGGATTTTACAGAAGTACCAAGAGATAAAGTTTCAAAGCTGTCTTCATAGCTGTGTCCAGAAGAAAAACAGTTTGTGCCATATCTTCTCTAGTGGAGTACTCCTTCTTTTGACTTCTAATTAGGCTAATTCAATTTTCACATTCTATTCAAGCTTCTACAGTGAGAAAACAGAGCTGTTAAACCCCCTTCATCTCAATGTATCAGGCAACAAGATTCAGGAGAAAGTTTATATACAACCTGCTTTTTGTAGTCTGAAAGAACACTACACAGAGAGAATCCCGTCCTCTTGAATGTCTAATAATTGGGGTTTCTTTAGAGGTTGTCCTGGCACAGGCTTTTTCTTTTTTCTCATTCTTTTACTCCCTGAGTTGTAAGCGTTGTCTTTTCTAGAAGGTGGAGTGAATTGATCACTACATAACGTGAGAAAAGCATATAGATGCGGCGAAACCAGAGGAGCTGGCTGTGATGACACTGCATGGCTCTCTAGAAGGAAAAACAGTTGAGAAACCATTACAAAAACCTTCCTGACCTAATATGGCTGCAGTTTTCAGTGTCCTCCTATACTTTACGTCCTGGACACTGTAAAATTCAAAATTCAATGCGCTATGACTACAGATGATCTCTGGGCTGTAAATCTGCTCAGCCCTGTCCTACTGTCCACACAGCACATGAAGTAAAGCAATTCACCCATTCCTATTTCACAAATCACTGAAGACTGTTCACTAGTGGTATTTATAAGCTACAGATACAGTTATGTGCGAAGCTCTCTGTGATGATGACCTGAACCTTCTGACCACAGCCTTCACAATGATGATGAGTTATTCTAACAGGTTAAGCAAATACAGAGTCTCACCCTGGCTTGCTGACTCTCTTCTTCTGTGAGTATGAAGAGCACGTCTCTGGGCAGCAGGCAGGAAAGGGGCACATCCAGGATGGAGATGTACTTCCGCAGGAGATTTACTGACTCAAGGACAAGCACACGGCACCCTAGACAGAAAAAGAGGATAGATATGTCAGAACAACAGATCTGTTGTAAGGTAGCCATCTCTCCAGGCTCAGCAGGTCTTTGCAGATTCCCCTATACTGTTCTTTTTGCACAAAAGGCATATGTGACCTTGTTTTTGTGGAAGTAACACATCAGCCTGGTTCAATGGCAGTGGCTGCAATTCTCTGAGTGGCAGCTCTCACAGCATTTGTCAGACTTCTGATGAAATTTTACTCCTCCTGTGCTTTGTCCCTGAAAACAGCTGTTCACAAATGTATGTAGTGCCAAAAAGCAGTGCCACAAGTAAGGTGTGACTGCAAAGGAAAGGCTGCTTCTTCCTGGTAAGCAGGCTGCAGGTTGGACATGCCTGATATAATGGAAATTTAAAATAGCTGTCTCTGGTTCATCAACAAAAACAAGATTTCTTATTTCCATTCCACTTCTTTGTTACAGAAAAAAATACAAGATTCAGGAACGGTTGTATCAAACATTAACTCAGCGTGGCAGTTACACTTCAGAGTTCTAGAATTCATTGCTCAGAAATTCATGATGAAGGGAGCGTATAAAGATTATACTGACTAGGATTTTTTTTTTCTTCCCAATTTTGAAGAGACCTTTGAACTCAAAGGTTAATTGCTTTTTAATTTCTATTTTTTTTTTTAAACTATGTCTAAATTGTCTTCACTGATGAGCTCAGAGCTACTGCTGCCCCCAGTAAGAGCTTATAGCTCTCAAAAGAGCTGCTTTGGGATTTCTCAGGGCTCAGAACCTGCTGTGATCATGCCCCACGCTTTAGATACTGTACTGTAGTCCAACAGGAAAGGGCAAAGTTGCTGTGTAGACATGCAGTCAGATACGCCATTAGATTTCCAATGAGATAAAGAACAATGTTGAATTGCTACAAAGGCTGCATAATGGATCATTTTAGTGACATGCTCACTTTGCTGCAACGAGCCTTGCTTTAATCCAGCCAAAGCCCACAATGGCAGCCCTGACCAACTCCAAAACATTTCCTTACCTTTCCATCTCTTTCTTTCCTCTCACCTTCAAAAGAAAGGAGCAAAGCCCTCCTGCAGCTGCCGGCAGATGGCGGCCCGAGGCAGCTGCAAACGCACAGCCTGCCTGGGTCACTGCAAGCACCTACAGTGCTGGTGGCCCTGTGGTCAGAACCATGTCATTGCCGTGCCACGTTGCTGCTCCCCACTGCAGCCTCGGCTGCTCAACCTCGCAAGGTCACCGTGTGGGTCCCTGTGGAGCTGCAGCTGTGCAATGCTGTCTGGGAGGACCGACAGCAGTGCCAAGCTCCCTGCAGTGTGTCCCTGGGATGTGCGGGAATGCAGGCAGCTGGGTGACTGGGTGGCCTGTGTCACCTCCTGATAGCCCGGCTGCTCACGGTCCTTCCTGACACGTCACAGACTGAGCAGTTGCTGTTTAGCTGCCATAAGGTTTCAGCCTGCTGTCACGAAGGATGCTCCGCAGTGATGAGTGTGTTGCTGCTCCATGCAGAAGTGCCCTGACAGCTTTTACTTGGCACTAAAAACACTTCTTGTTTCCAAGCGGCAAATCTGTGCTCTTTTTAACTCTAGAATGCACCAGCTCTCTTCCTCAGAACAGCAAAGCCTGCAGGTTCTGTTCCTGCTATTCCCCAAATCTCAGCAGTAAGGTCCCCAAAACAGCTGCAACCACACTCAATATCTAGTATTCATCACTTGGGCCTCCTGGGCCCCCATCGGTCAGATCAGGCAAAGCCATGGGCATTCAAGCTTCACAACATGAAAGGCACTGTAACAGCCTTCTGTGTCAGTGATATGACAAGGATCTCCACATGCTGACAGCAAGGGCTGCTCTGCATGGGAATGTGAGATGAAGTGAAGCAGGGAAGGAATGTACAGTTCAGTGAGAGATGGAAAAGGATTGAGAGAAACAGACTGCACCCTGCCAAGCAGGGTAAGAGAAGTGCTGCCATTGATGAGTCTACTCCTATGACACCAGCAGGTGAAGCTCTTCAGAGCCTGCTGTGCCTGTGACCTGGGCAGGACAGGATTAACAGTGTAATACAACCTCTCTAGGTTGGCAGAAAGGGCAAGATCAATATAGCTAGTGGATTAGACCTAGAATAGAAGCGCATAAAGCCTGTTTGGCTTGGCTTTCTACTTTCAAATTGCTTATGCAGCAAGTATGCCTAGAATGAGATTATTAGCAGATCTACGCATGCTAAGGGCTTGCACTGCTCCTGACAGACATCAGCACACCAACTCTTCTGAAAGAGTGGTGGTTAAAGCTGGACAGGGCCAGCAATTGGGGTGGATTCATACCAGCAGCTGTCTTGGCTTCTAGAAACAAGCCTACGTGCTTGTGCCTGGCCTGGACAACTTGATTACAGATTATAAAAAGCCTGCTGTCTTTATGCTGGATAAGGGCATTAGAAAGCAAAGCAGGATATTTAGGGTGCTCATTTGCATATCAGTGAGGCAATGCAAGGCTTAGCTGGCTTTTGCATTTGCAGAGAGATTTTCTCTGGATTCCCTGATCACATGAGCTTACACGGGTTCACCCGCAAATACTTCTCCCTTACCAACAGCAGAGCAGGACATTTCCATGGCCTGAACATGCCTTTCAGCTCTATCCAGACAGCCTCAATCCCAGCATCACTCTTGTTTCATTAAGCCCCTCTGATGCACAGCCCTGCACGCCTGCCAGATCAAATTATAAATACCAGGAATTTCAATGAGACTGGAACTATATTTGGAAAGGCTTAGCGTAAGCAGCAGCATGGGAGCTCCCCGTTCCTTTAGCATTTGTAGGT